AATAGTGTAGAGTAGTAGGCTGTATGGTCTTCTAACAGATATATATATATATATATATATATATAGTATTCTGTGATATATATATGAAGCCTGAATGAATAAGTTTTATTTCCTTTGCATCATATAGATTTATTCAAAGGAAGATGTTGTTGCACCAAAACAAAAACGACCTGCCATTCTTAGGTCATATTGTATGTTTTATTACTGTCACATAGCATATCATTTAAAGTTTGAAATACTAAATTAGATCTGTATGTCTTTTTTAAATTTTTCTACAAACCTGTTAAGACAATAAGATATTTTACTTCAATAATCAGATGCTTTTCATCATATTTTTTGGTCACTTGGTGGCTAAAATGAGGAACATTTGACAAATTGATCATTATTTAATATGTACAATAAGAACTACATACTTCAAACAGAAACAATTTAGGTATTATCATCAATTTCTAAAAGAATAAATGTGTTACTTGTTTGGAGGAGATCAGTGTAGTTTGGATCACTTAAGCAACAAATGAAATAAATGACAACTCACGAACAGCGTGAAATATGCTAATAAAAGTTTAATTTAGACACCAGGTACATCAGAATTTTGTAATGAAAATAGTTGAAGTAATTAACCATAGCTAAGTAATTACATTTATAATCACTTATCAGTGATGGTCCACATTATACAATGCATGGTAGTATGAATAAGCTTAATTTGCGATTTAAAGCCAGGATTAAGCCTACATTAATTCTTCTTTGGTGTATGATCAATATATGATTAAATACTTCATAATATCTCTAGGATTAATAAGGGTACTTTCTGTGAACCTGGACAGTCTAGCTAGACCTATTTGTAATTATTAGAGGTTGTAGTTGTCACGGTAATAGTACTTCCGATCTCTGAGTTCAGCAATTATTGTTTCAAGTATATTGTATCCAGTCTTCCTCAGGGTAGACAAACATTCTCAGCAGTGGCATCTGTAATATTTATGGTTCTTCAACTTTTGCAACATTTTTTCTTCCTTTCATTGATTTTGATTGATGAGTGACCTTGTTTCACTGCTGTTTTGCTCTTTGACTAAAATGCAGCCTGGAATGGTCTTTTATGTAGTGGTTTAGTTAGAATAGAAGCTCCAGTTTTATTGCTTTGCTTTGTATCATGCACCTGTTAATGTTTTGCCTGTGCACTTCTATCTTCTTCTGTAAAGCTCCTTTCAGATGGTGCTCAGTCTGGCATGGCCAGATGGTTAGGGTGTTCTACTCGCAATCTGAGGGTTATAGGGTCAAATCCCCATCCCACCAAACATGCTCGACCTTTCAACCATGGAAGTGTTGTAACATGATGGTTATTCCCACTATTTGTTGGTAAAAGAGTAGCCCAAGAGTTGGCGGTGGGTGGTGATGACTAGCTGCCTTCCCTCTAGTCTTTCATTGCTAAATTAGGGATGGTTAGCGCAGATAACCCTTGTGTATCTTTGTGCGAAATTCAAATCAAACCTCAGATGGTGCTTTTCAGGTGTCATACTTTTACTGAAAGGTAAGAACAGGCAGGAACAGAGGCTAAGTTCTTAAAATAATTTGAATAGATGACTACATTTCATTCAACTCAATTTATTTGTTTTTCTTACATTTGTATGTTCTTTCACTTGTGTCAGCATTTTCTTGTCATGGAAATTGGTAAACAACATTTTATGATTTCAAAGAAATACGATATTTGTATTGGAAAAAATATTTGGTTTAAAAATGCATCTCAGTTGTACATGCAGATGTACTGTATGAAGTTCAGCATGCAGTTGTTTATTACATAGAATATTTACCAATTTATGGCAAGGTTATAAAAAGTAGCCATTTAGGAACTTCGTATTTTGATAGTTTAATAAAGTTCTGTTTCTTCAAATAGTTACAAATTATTCAATCTGTAAAAATTGATAGGTAAATGATTTTTGCATAGGGATGTTTTGATTTTGTCAATAAATAGATCAAGCACATTTGAGCATGCCCTAAGTGAGTGTGAGGTAGTCTTACATGCAACTTAATTTAAAATCTTAACAAGGGCTAGTGATGAACAAACTCTCCTTACGATAGAATCCTTGTTCATTCATAAGCTGAGTCCAAAAATTAACTAGGTTATTTTATTTCACCTTATAGGTTGCTGCTTGTTTTGTAACTTTAAAGGAACTTTGTTATTTATATTTATAAGTAAACAGTAACACAGGTGGGGAATGTTGTGGCAGGCCTATCTGTCATATCTGCAAGCCAAGCATGAGCTCACTTTTATCAAATGCCAAGCAATTGACAGTCCATATGCCTAACTTCCTGAAATTCTTGACACTAGCACCACTACCATATGCAAGTCCAAGCAGGCTACTGATATAGACCATAGTAACAACCCTTCCTGGATTGGCATGCATCCTCTGATTAGTTTGCTGAAAGAAGTATATCTTAGGGGGTTGTAAAATACCAGGTCCAGAGGTTGCTTACAGTGATGTGTGTGGAGCCAATAATAACAAATGTCCATTTCCTTTGCTAAGACCATAACTCTAAGGTTGATGGTGTGGAACTTGTGTCCATCAAGAATCAACAACATTTTGTTTATGTCATTGGTTTTGCATCATTTATGAAGTCCTTAATTAAGCTAGTAACAAAATATGTCATTATTTATCAGAGACATTTTCCTAAGAGTGGATCAGAATGGCAGTTCATTGTTCATGGACTATATTTACTAATATTACAGAAATGTGGTAGTGGGTTTTGCACCTACAAAACAAATGAGGATTAATTAACAGCATAGGCATACTTGACCTGTTAACATGGTTTCCAAATGTGCTTTATCCATTCATTCATTTTTGAAGGAAGATAATGGCAAGCAGTATAAAGTTTTTATAGAACACACAAGAGTCATGTTCTTTCCTGGTTTCTTATTATATCTATCTGATGTTTTTCCTTCTTTGTGAGTACTTAATACACCTTCTGAGCATCAGTGATATCTATTATGATGTGATAACCTTTTGTCCAATTTTACATCTAATACTTGATCTGAGCAAGGTTCAACTTACACAGATCTCCCCTATTTTATAATAAGTATGGTGTTTCCAAGCTAAAATTTAATCAAATTTATGAATTAAAGCTTAAATTTAAAAGCTTCAGTGATCTTCTAATACTGTTTTCAGCAGATCAAATAATATTCATAAAAATGATGCAGGTATGTCACAAAAAATAACTTGTATTTTGTGCCTGATATTTTTATGACCTGTATGAATAGCAGACATACATATATATTTATTGAAATACACACAAACTTTTACGTTAAATCTTGTATATGGATAGCCAAACTCGGTATTTTCGAAGTTTTATTTAGATCACCTGCATTACAAAGTTTGTTTTGTGTTATTTGTACAGTAAGTAAAACAGCAATCATTAGAGTTTGTTTTTTCACATAAATTACGCATTATGCTCTGAACCACAAATTGCTCTATAAATACTTCATGCTCATTTCTTGATGTTTTTTACTTTCATTTCCTTCTTGTCTTTGGTACTCATTACTCATCTCCTGTTACTTAACATTAAAAGCCACTCCTTTTGTACAATTTATATCAGATATTTCTGCATTGTGCAATCTCTTTCAATGTTAACTTAGCTTTGGAACTTCAAACACAAGAGTTAGACAAAATGTGCACTATTTTTTTTTTTTTATAGACATCTGTTTGATGAAATTTTACTTCGCACTTTTCCCCCCTCCACTTCTTTACCATTGGATTACTTGACTTTAGGTGTAAATATATAATCACAGTACTCAAAAAGTTCTTTAGTTGTTTAGTTTATCAGACTGGTAACAGGGTTGTGGTGAAAATCAGGCTTGTATATGCTATATTGCCACTTTTTTGTCTAACCCGAGTATGATTTCCAGATCTCGTTTAATCTTGATTCATTTCGTAAATAATTTTGAAATTCCAGATGAGATATTTTTATATTTTACTTCTTATGTCTTGGACTGCCTAGTTTCTATTATTAAACACACTTTTACTAGGGAGTTTCTTATATATTCTTGTGTCTTTTGCATCATAAAACTACTTTTTGAATATCCCACACCTACATCTCTTAGGTCCATTCTCTAGATTGGTATTGATTTTACTTTGTTTTCTTTCATATACACAAGCAACTAAACAATACTGCAAATTTATATAATTTATGGTTTCTTTGTTTTTTCTGGCAGATTTTCAATCCATCTTTCTCTGTTTCATATCATATGCCATCTTTGTGCTTTGAAACTATTTCTTCCTTGATATCCACCCATTACTTGGTTGTAAATCATACTTTCTCATGCTGTTTCTAGAATTCTGAGAATCCTTTTGTTCTTTGTTACTTTATATATAAAATGGCTAGATATTTTTCCCCATTTATAACTCGGTCATCACAGGCAAAAGAATCTCTCCAGCTACCAGGCCTTATGAGTTTACCCATGGACAATTTACAGAGGCATGCATCATTTTACTTTGAATTTCTGGTAGATGTTAAGTTCATGCAGTTCCATAATTGGTTAATAATGATATAAACTTTTGTATTTTTATCTTTATTTTTATGATACATTGATGCTTTATACTCAAAATATTTCTGTGATGTTAAACATTAATAATAGAATGGCAATATCAGAAAAGATACTTCATCTGAGATATTTATCAGAGAAGATACTTCATCTGAGACGATGAAGTATCTTCTCTGATAAATAAACACATCTGAACTTTGAAAACTGGCTTCTTTTTTTAGGTACCTCAAAAACATTCTAC